TTGTGTTGGGTTGTCTGATGTCACGTTTGTGTTGGGTTGTCTGCTGTCACATTTGTGTAAGGTTGTTTGCTGTCACGGTTGTGTTGGGTTTTCTGATGTCACGTTTGCGTGGGATTGTCTGATGTCACGTTTGCGTGGGATTGTCTGATGTCACGTTTGTGTTGGGTTGTCCGATGTCACTTTTGAGTTTGGTTGTCTGCTATCACTTTTGTGTTTGGTTGTCTGCTGGCACGTTTGTGTGGAGTTGTCTGCTGTCACGTTTGTGTGCGGTTGTCTGCTGTCACGTTTGTGTTAGGCTGTCTGATGTCACGTTTGTGTGGAGTTGTCTGCTGTCACGTTTGTGTGCGGTTGTCTGCTGTCACGTTTGTGTGGAGTTGTCTGATAGCACGTTTTCGTGGTGTTGTCTGCTGTTACGTTTGTGTGGAGTTTACTGCTGTCACGTTTGTGATGGGTTGTCTGATGTCACGTTTGTGTTGGGGTGTCTACTGTCACGTTTGTGTTTGGTTGTCTGCTGTCACGTTTGTGTTGGGTTGTCTGATGTCACGTTTGTGTTGGGTTGTCTGCTGTCACGTTTGTGTTGGGTTGTCTGCTGTCACGTTTGTGTTGGGTTGTCTGCTGTCACGTTTGTGTTGGGTTGTCTGCTGTCATGTTTGTGTTGTGTTGTCTGCTATCATGTTTGTGTTCGGTTGTCTGCTGTCACGTTTGAGTTGGGTTGTCTGCTGTCATATTTGCGTTGGGTTGTCTGCTGTCATGTTTGCGTTGAGTTGTCTGATGTCATGTTTGCTTGGGGTTGTCTGTTGTCATAAATTGATACACCATATCTTTTCTGTATTATTACATTAACAGTTTTTGTTTCTTGTGCTTTGTGGAGGTCATAAAAAGTTTACTCGTGCTTGACGTGTGTGCTTTTATTGTTTTTAACAGTTATGACGAATTTATTCTTGAAATATCCTCTATCATTAAATGTGTGTTACTTTATTTTGTTGCTTTTTGACAGTTTGTTTATTGAAATTAGTATGCAGTCCACATGAATGCATAGAAAATTTTCTGTCAAGTTATCTAACATATATTTTGCTATGCACCGGTGTTGTTATGATATTTATTTTGTATCTGTATGTTACAGTATGAATGATTGTCGGCGTTTCATTATTTAGCAGTATGTGATATATTTCCCTGAAAAATGTTATTGAAAATTTGTCGATACTACCTCGCAGCTGCTTTCTTAAATGGACAGATGTACCGTGGTCGACATCTAGCAAATAATTCTGCTAATAGAGTGCTAGGGACGAGTTGCAGCGAGGTGATTGTTTTTTCTTCAGGTTAAAGGTCTCACTTCCAGATGCAAAACAGAAATAAAAGTGAGAATCATTTGCTGTTGTTTTTTTCATTTGGGCGCAGTGAGTGTGTGTCATGAACCGATATACTATATAAATAAGAAGATGTGGTATGAGTGCCAATGAGACAACTCTCTATCCAAGTCACAACGTATAAAAAACTAACAATTATAGGTCAAAGTACGGGCTTCAACACGGAGCCTTGGCTCACACCGAACAGCAAGCTATAAAGGGCTCCAAAATGACTAGTGTAAAACAATTCAAACAGGAAAACCAACAGTCTAATCTATATAAAAAACGAGAAACGAGAAACACCTATGAACCACACCAACAAACGACAACCACTTAATAACAGGCTCCTGACTTAGGATAGGTGCATAAAAATGCAGCGGGTTTAAACGTTTTAACAGGCGCCAACCTTCACCCTGACCTGAGACAGTAGTGTAACATTAATTACAACATAAAAAGACACACTATAAAATATCAATTGAAATGGCTTAACTCGATCAAATAGACATTTAAACAAAAACAAGTAAAAATACACTGAACGAATAAGTTTGATCTATGACACAATATAAATAAAATATTTAAACGTAGGTGCCTATATAACATAGACGTTACAGGTAGTAATATAAAAGATGTATACCCTTTTATTATATACTTAGTAGTAAATACAGATAAATTGTATGTGTAATACAATAATTGGCAAGCGTGATGTATCAGCCACCCGTGATGATATCGATATCAGCACGGTTGCAAAGGCTTTATCACACCTTTAATCTGTATGACGTTACGTCATCGATTGCAGTCACTGTTGCAAAGGCTTTATCAAACCCATAATCTGTATGACGTCATGTCAAACCTATGATCTGTATGACTTCATTTCAAACCTCCTTACCTGTATGACGTCATGTCACATAAAAAAACATCTACGTGAGGTATAGGTATATAATAAAGTGTATATGATATGGCTTTTTCAATATCACACACCGTATCAACCCTCAACCAATATAATCCCTTGAGCAGAGCTCTTGGGATTATATTGGTGTCTCTGGTTGATACGGATGTGATATTGAAAAAGCCATATGATATTCTCTATTTATTTCATTAGTTTACATTAAGTCTTATATGATTCATATTTGCTTATGTACAGGTACTCTAAATACTAGCAATGAACGTCAATGTCCCTCTTTCTTCTGTAATTTATTTCAACTGTAATTGATCATGTATAAAAGACTTTTCCTCCTGAATTGTAAATTTTGTTCACATGGTTATTTTTTAAACTAGTAACATGAAATTTTTGAGAGATAATACGCAACCAAAGAATGTTGTTTTTAATTTAATTTGCTAGAACATTCAATCAAAGATCTTCGCCTGTAGTTAAAGTTTGTCTTTTTATCAGCTTGTGTTATAATGATCCATTCAGTTTTATTTTAATAGCGTATTTTCGATTATAAATGTCTAAAATCCCTGAACAGAAAAGGTGTAATATTTATCCAACTTTCACAACAGTCTGTCATATTGCCCACTACACTCTGTATACTATACTGTATTGAAGAGAATTCCATTTTATCTTAGTGTGTCCGAAATATAAGGAACTTAGATGTTCAGTGGTTGTCGTTTGTTGATGTTGTTCATAGGTGTTTCTCGTTTCTCGTTTTTTATATAGATTATACCGTTTTTTTTCCTGTTTGAATGGTTTTACACTAGTCATTTTTGGGGCCCTTTATAGCTTGCTGTTCGGTGTGAGCCAAGGCTCCGTGTTGAATGCCGTACTTTGACCTATAATGATTTACTTTTACAAATTGTGACTTGGATGTAGAATTGTCTCATTGGCACTCATACCACATCTTCTTATATCTAATTAGAGTAAAATTCATCAAGAAATATTACTTTTCTAGGCCAAGTGTTTAAGTAAATTGAATTTTTGAGTATATGTAATGAACATCAAACAGTTAACCAATTCAGGAAAATACATTTTTACTGCATTTAATTTTAAAATCAGAGACATGAACATTCTCTGTCTGTTTACTTGTTAACTTGTTTACTTTGAAATTTTATATTGACACCGATGAACTGTAAAGTTCAAGGTTATAAAGAATTTGAGCACTACACTCACCCTGCCAAAAAGTAATATCATTAATATCATTATTAGTATTATTGATAACCGAGTTAATAACATTATTTAAAGGAGTGTCATTTAAAGGTGAAGACGGTTTGTTAACCACTAGATATTTTGCAGTAAATTGTGAACTTGTGTGTTTTTATGACATATTCTGTACCTAGCAACGGTTTTATTTAAAAAACATAAGTGTTTTGAATATAATTGCTTACAAAATGGCAAAGGACTTGAATTTGAGGAAATGAAAATTTGTGTAAACCGACCTTTTTCAATGAAGTTAGTTTATACCATATATATATACATATTATATATATTGACGCAATCGTTCTTGTAACATCATAACTGTCGTCACCGATAAAGCTTTAGAATTGTGCTAGTTCATATCGCACATTATTATTTTTATTTAAAGCATATATTTGAACTCTCTGTTGTAATTAGTCATATAACCTATGTCGTGTTTAACACATATTTAGAATTGTGCAAGCGTCTTAACTGATGTTCGGTTTGACTTTTTTATTGTATAAATTTCAAGATTGTTATAGTTTAATCTAAGTAGACTGATATATGATTCATTCAACATCACAATCATATTTACTGATGAAGGATATTTGTTATCCGAAATATTTATAAATAACTACATTTATAGTTCCTTTTTTTGTTATTGGTGTTGTTGTGTACACTTTTTAGGCGTTTATATAATTTATTTATTGTGTACATGTATCGTTACTCGTAACGATCCAGCGCCCTCGTGGGAAAAATCGTTGACTATTATTCAGACGTTTTATATATATATATATATATATGTTTAAATCTTACTCCTTTTTATTGCATGACAGGTGATGTATAAAAAGCAAGGAATGTCCATTGCCGCACTTAATCACTTTTCATTTGAAGTTTATGCCATTCCGATTTGAATTTACTATTTAGTGAAATGTTCCCCTTGGTAACATTGTATTGTTCCTCTGGGGAACACATAATAAAGGGCTCAATGGTTTCTCTTTTGTAGTATTCTCCTAAGTAGTTAGCTAATTATGAAATACGGCTAGGATGGATCATCTTGATCTTTGACTAATTTTTAACTTTCGACTAATTGACAATATGTTTATGTGGTCACCAGAAGAACACTACACTAATATGTGTTCCCCAAATAAACGTTACGATGTTCCTATGTAGAACATTTCTTTGATTGTAACAATTATTATGCAATCATAAGGGGAACATTTTCCCAAATTGTTAAACAGTTATATATTATTACTCATGCGAGGCACTACTTGCCGGTTTTATGGTGACTTTCATCTAAAAGCATTTAAACTCTGTAGACTACTTTTACTACTGACCAATCTGGAGTACATCCATTCACCACCGTTGTTGGATTCTTGTTTCCAAATTGTAAATTTTCTGTGCGTATTAGTGAACTGCTGTTTGTCTTTTTCATTTGACCATTGTGTTGTCGACTGTTGCGTGGTAGTAGCGTGCTTGTCTCGATCGCGAATTTTGCTACGAAAACCAATCAGCAAACCAGGAATGAAAACACAAACAAAATGTAAAGGCTCAACTTTATTTAAAAAAAGGTTTAAAATAAATACATAAAAAAAATAATACAACTGCGTTCTAATCTGTGAATTTATATCGCAATGCATAACAAATAGTCTGTTGTGTTTGGATTTGGCTGTCAGATAAAAAGTAAGATCTGCACGCCAAATCAATGCAGAAATAAACTTCTTTTTACTACATTGTGTTTAGCGGAACATATTCCTACTGTGATGTTGAAGCTTAAAACACCTATATAATATACTAATATATAATAATACGTGAGTGCCTGGATACGATTAATTGATTTAGAATAGAAAACAAGAGGCCAACAATAAGGAATAGGAAATAATGTGGTGCTAAAGTAGATATTATACAGAAAATTGTACAAATTATTTAATAATATCAAGAATGATGATCCCTCTATACAGACTCTCCTATATAGATAATAATTCAATCAGTGAAAATCATATAACGATAATCACTGTATTGAATTTCATTGTTACGGACTCTAATGAAGCTGATACAAATTTCTTAGATCATCATCTTGTAAAAATATGTATTAACACTCAATATACCCTATTCAGTACAAATAACTTCAAAAATATAAAATAAGAGGCACACATGTGCCTACATCGCTCATCTATGAAGAAAATAGCAAGTTTGCTAAGTAGGAATTTTATATGCACATAGTATAGTTACTCTTTGTGTTTTTGATCTTTTTGTAATTTACATGTTTAAACTAGGTCCTATAAGTTTTTAGATGACCGCAAAAGCTACAAAACATAGTAAAACAAATATTTCAGGAGCAATATCTCCAAATTGGTTGCCAAAAATACAAGAGAAGATAGATATTGTCATACTTATCACTTTTATAGTTTAAACTTTAAACATAGCTCCTCTAGTTTTAAAAAAAAACAACAACAAAAAAGTGAAAAATTGGAAAAATGTATATTTCGGGGGCAACTCAAAATCGGGTTGACAGATGTTTCTGAAATTTCCAGGGTTAAACTATCTTGTCGTGCTTAACCTTTTTTGCAAATTAAATTTTTAACTTAGCTCCCATATTTTTTAAAATAAAATTCAAAAACTGCAAGAAAGATTATTTTAGGGTCAATAAATCTATAATGGATTGACAGATTTTTCTCCAATTTTCAGTGTACAATACATGTATATCTTGTCGTGTTGAACCTTTTTGCCCTTTACACTTTTAACATAGTTCCTATAGTTTTCGCGATAAAGCCTGCAACTGATAACAGTTGGAAAAAAATATATATCAGGGACAATTACTCCAAAACAAGAAGTTAGATTTTCACAAATTTCCAGGAAGGATCAATCTTGTAATGCTGATAATTTTTGCAATTACGCTTTAAAGGAAATGCTAAATAGTTAAAACTAACTATTTAGGGGAAATAACTCCAAAACAGGTGGACAGATTTTTCCAAAATTTTCAAGGTATATAGAGGTTTTTGTGTTTACCATTTGTATCATGTCAGTGTAATATGGCTAAAGTTTTAGAGATATTGCCCGATACTGTAGTTTGGTCGTTATGTTTTATTTTTAGACACGGCGGCCTTATTGGATGATCAACTTGGACGAAAATCACACATTTTATAGTTGACATCCTACAGATGAAGCATACAAATTCTGGTTTCAAGTCATTTAGTGTTCTCAGAAGAGAAGATTTTTTAACGAAAAATTTATGGACGATGGACAACAGATGACGGACGGACGACGGACGCAAAGCGATGACAAAGCTCACATGGCCCTTTGGGTTGTGTGAGCTAAAAAGGAAATAGACGTTCTAAATATATTCTAATATATCAAATAAATATAGATAAATAATAAATATCATGTCTTGTTTTTGAATACGTGGAGTATCTAAGCAAAACGAGTGATTATTGGTTTGTAATTGTCTGTTTACGTCATACTTCTATGTGCTCTTCAAAAACTGCTACAACAACTAATATAAAGGCACCAGTTATTATTCCGATGTTGTGATAACAGAAGGTCTTCCAACTTTTAGTCCCTAACTTCATTAGCTCTGGTAACTGAAATGATAAGACAGACTACTAATACTTATATCATAATAATTACATTACATGTATGGTTCACGAGAATCCGTTAGTTTGATTGGCTAACAAAATCGCGCGTCATTCAAAAATTAACCTTCATATCAAAATGAAAATTAATGTTATATTCGTGATGACACGCGCTTCAACAAAGAAGTGCACAGGCAAATAAAATAAAAACGAGATAAAACTTTTTTTTCATGGTCTTAGCATAAAAATGTATTTATAAGAAATGAATGCTTCTTGGTGAAATTTGAAAGGGTTGTAAAAGTGTTGATCGTGCACACATTTATAGAATGATACAAAATGTGCTTCGGTCAACACGTTTACACCCCAATGAAATTACAAAAGGAAGCATTCATTTCTTAACTTAAGTCATACTAAATTTGCTGCCTGATTGATCTTCATCATAAGCGCATAAATATGACAGTTTTAACATGACCTAAATGCAAATTATGGGATTTGCATTTAGGTCATGCAATTGTTTTGTTTTTTCTTCTTAGTTCAAATCATAAACATGGGACAAGAGCGAGAACGAGATTGGTGTATATAAGATTAGAGTACGACATAGCAATAAGGAAAACATGATCCTTAGTTTAAGACACAGCCACTTTTAAAAGTTTGTTACATGTATGCTGTTGCTAGACTTAAATTAGTTTTAGTTTAAATTATTTTTTAAAAAAATGATGGGGACACTGATTTCAGTTTTGTTGAATTAATCATGTGATTACTCTGTTTGTAATAAAAACACCGGGAAAACTTTTTACAGCTTAAAACAATGCTATTATTTGATGTTTTTTTGTCATTTTTTGACCAAAATTTAGTGTTCACAATTTAACATATAACATGGCCTAAACCATTGTCTTCAATGCTTTTGTGCACATTTTGCCTGAACTTGTCCCCCCCTATAAAAACTTTAGAAAACAACAAAAAACTTAATGTAAAAGATGTTGTTTGTTGTTCATTCTTACCATACCAACGAGGGATATGTACAGGAAATTTCCTGCTGTTACCGCATAAATCCAGTTGACGGCAGTTGCATACGACGCTACCTGTACACCAATGAAGAAACCAATGAAGGCTGTCAATGACGAGAACAAATTGGCCAATATAGCCTGCCAGAATGACAAACCACTTGTAATAAGTACAGCAAAGTCACCTACAAAAATAAAATAAGTTGTATAAAAGAGATTTTATGAGTAGTCCGGCTAAGGATAATCGGTATTGTCATTTATTTAACTTTGAACTTTTGTCATTTCAGCGTTTAAACATTCTTGGATTTCAAAGTTTTCGGTTTTAGCGTCCCTTCTTAAAGTAAATCCAGACTCGCGACCTGAAAATTTTCTTCCCGCTGACAAATTGGAACCTTGATATTTTGTTATCACTTGGTCACCGGGTCGGCCGACCCGGCCTGCCTTTCCCTGCCAGAATAAGCGTTCCGGACGCAGCAAAGTTAGAAAGTGTTATTTTCTGTACCATGAGATATATAATGCGGTAAAGTATATGAATGTATATTCCAGAGTGCTGAGAACTGTTACAGTAGATTGGTTTATATTGGTTTGTTGCTTGGCTTTAAGATTTCAGTGCTAGCACATTTTGAAGGGAAACGTACGAAGTGAGCAAGTACAAAAGAAATAATTTAGTATAGTTAAGGAAATATAATTTATTCAATAAATTAAAACACACGCTTTATATGAATAGTATGACAATAAACTCATCATAGAGACCAGGATTAAAATTGTGTACGCCTGGCGTGTTTCGTCTACAAAAGACTCATCAGTGGACGCTCGAATCATTAGCTTCAATTGTACATCAGATTGTTCAGATTGAAAAAAAAGGTTGTTTTATTTGAAAAAGAGCACCACGCAATTATCTACTAAGGTCAACCTGTTTGCGGTTTAAAACAAAATAGGCGTCATATGATTTTTTTATTTATATATCTTTGATGGTGAAACGTGAGCGACTTGTGGTAACGACTGGCTATAGCAATAGAAAATATTTAATGAGGGTGGTAAAAGGGGGGGGGGGTGCTTGCACGAAAAAAAAGTGAAATAAGACATAATTTCACGTTGAACGTGAAATAATTTCTGTCATGAACGTTGCACGAAAAATAAAGACTTTGATGTGAACCTTTTGTGACTGAGTCACTGTCTTCTTGTATATATAAACTCTCTGTTTTACTTGTTATTCCCGATTTAGTATACACATTTATGATATAAATGGTTTACGGCTTTTAAAAAAGTATTTCTTGACGATCCCTGCCAAGTGTTTGAATTTTATTTGAAAAATACCGAGCACGCAAAATAAGCATTTGAAAATCACGATGCACGTAAAATTAAATAAGCAGAACACGTTGAACGAGGCACCTGTCTTGCACGACTGAACGTCAAATAAAAAAGTAAAAACACGTTGAACGTGAAATAAAAAACGGCGATCACGTTGCACGAAAATAACCCTTTACCACCCTCTTTAATTTCTGTGTGAATTTGTGAATAACTATAGCATTAAAATTACCTAATTCCTGTGGTAATTCGTGACAGAATATAGCTATAGTAAGACCAATCCCATCAGCTATATCGCTCGAGAAAGCTGCTCCCAACACCAGACCATCGGTAGTATTGTGTATGGCATCTCCGATTATTATCATGTATGCTAGTGGGGCTATACCTGTGTGTATTCAAATATATTGGTTTAAACAAATATATATTTAACTATATATGGTATCGACGGCATTGTCAATACAATATGAATATTAATGACACTGAATATTCAACAGATGTGTTTCAAATGAAATCACATATAAAACACGAAAAAGATAAAATATATAGCATGATATGTGGCTTAATGTCAGGTAAATTAACGACAAATACAGGTTTAATTGAGGTTGGACATCTCGTTGTCGATTGAACCCCTAAAACTTTAACATATTTTCTTAAAGTTCAATTCACTATAATAATATGCGATAATGATATAAAGTTTACCATTTTCTTTTCTCAAGTCTTCAGATCCTAAATCAACTTTACCATTTGAATTGACCTGTATCAAAAACAAAAAATCTAAATAAATATATAGTTGCGACGAAAACATTAGACCATATATTAACAGTATACATATAAAAGACCGTTTTCAGACTACAATAATGCTTATTTTGCCAACCCCCTGAAATAAACAATATGTAAAAGTTTTCAAACTTGTTCCTCATTTTCTTTTGGGTTTTGTTAAGAAAATATACACGTCTGTATCATTTGTGTTTGGACTGTACAAACATCTATATTAAAATATAATAAACCACCATTTCATGGTAACGTTTATTTTTCTGATTCTCTTTAAAAAGTTGACGCACATAGAATGCACATACGTAGTTTTATTATTGTAATTGACAATCATGCTGAAATAATGGTACGAGATTAATAAATAATGGATGAAACATGTTTAAAGATGTTGTGCGAAATCTAACGTTGCTTTGCCTAGTCTTTTTTGTCACACTACTAACATAAAGCATATATACGATATGTAATATTTTCCCAATACTTATGCTGCTATTAGACTGCTAATCTTTAGATATTGGGACTTAATAAAACCAACGGGTTTGTTTGGAAACTTCCACTAAATAGTCTATGTTCAAATCAGACATCATCGGATTTTTTGTGACACATGTTCATAAATAAAAGAAATTATTGGGCATACGTCAATGAGACAGCAATCTAACGACACAAAATAAAGTCGATCGTCATCTAGAGGTAAACATAAGGGTTTCAAACAAAAGACAAATTTCTGTTGGCATCTCGGAGCTCTTTATCGCCCGAGTCTAGAAAAGATGCAAATAAATTCAACAGGGACTGTGGAAAATCTCACGACTGTACCTAATTTCCAAAATGACATAAAATGGTCAGTGAATCTATGTTTTTGGACAATCGGAACAAATGGTGCAATGTTTATATAAGGTCGACAAAACATAATTCAAAATAAGTTACCTGCCTTTTACCAGAGAAAATTATTACATTATACAAACATCTTAAAAGTATGACTGATAGGTAGCGCACTAGATAAAGTATAACTTATTATACAGAAATTAAGAAATGTGGCATGACTGCCAATGAGACAACTATCCACCAGAAACCAAAGCACATGGACAAGTGTCACCGTCAGAACCCATACCCATATAGAATAACCATACATTGTCTCGAAATATAAATTTTATTTGTACAAGGCTTAGAAACAGGTAGGAAGCGAGGCTTTGTCGAGCACTTCTATCCTGTTTTGAGTCGAGTACAAATAAAATTTATATTTCGAGACAATGTATGGTTATTCTTTATATACTGCAACTCCTACAACTGTTCCAAATAAAATATTTAGGGTAAAAACCATCATTTTTTAATTTGGAGCGAATGACGTAAACATTCTGCGAACCTGTACATTAAATGACGTCATAAATAAAACTCTACGTAAACGCATTGTCAACGTCATAAACAAGGCGATATACGGTCAGTGACTGTATATCACAAATGATTATACGGTCAATGCAATTTGACTGCGCAAATATCACAGCTGCAGTATATAATGAGATTACTATCCATCAGAGACCAATGCACAAGGACAAGACTAGTTTCACCGTAAGACCTTCAACAAAAACCATACCCAAATGAGACTACTATCCACCAGAGACCAAAGCACAAGGTCACCAGAGACCAAAACACAAGGACAAGACTAGTGTCACCGTAAGACCTTCAACAAAACCCATACGCAATGAGACTACTATCCACCAGAGACTAAAGCACAATGACAAGTGTCAACGTCAGACCTTCAACAAAACCCATACCCAATGAGACTACTATCCACCATAGACTAAAGCACAATGACAAGTGTCAACGTCAGACCTTCAACAAAACCCATACCCAATGAGACTACTATCCACCAGAGACTAAAGCACAAGGACAAGTATCAACGTCAGACCTTCAACAAAACCGATACCCAATGAGACTACTATCCACCAGAGACTAAAGCACAAGGACAAGTGTCAACGTCAGACCTTCAACAAAACCCATACGCAATGAGACTACTATCCACCAGAGACTAAAGCACTAGGACAAGTATCAACGTCAGACCTTCAACAAAACCCATACCCAATGAGACTACTATCCACCAGAGACTAAAGCACAAGGACAAGTGTCAACGTCAGACCTTCAACAAAACCCATACGCAATGAGACTACTATCCACCAGAGACTAAAGCACAAGGACAAGTATCAACGTCAGACCTTCAACAAAACCCATACCCAATGAGACTACTATCCACCAGAGACTAAAGCACAAGGACAAGTGTCAACGTCAGACCTTCAACAAAACCCATACCCAATGAGACAACTATCCACCAGAGACCACCGGACGTGGACGTTAACAGCCTTTGTCGCTTCTCATGTTGTCTTTTTATTAAAAAAAAAAAACTTTTTTCGTACAATGACAAAATAAAGGACACTATCAATTACAGTATCGACTACCTGAAATATACGCCGCTGGTGAAATAAATACAACAGAAATTTGCCGTACATTATTGAAAGATACTTTACTCCAAGAACAAGCTTATTGTTTGAGTTTAATGCAACATACAAGACTAGTCGAAATATTTCGTACATAAATCGTTCTGATTTGTCAGTCTTGATTGGTTTATCTAATAGGGTCAAAGAGACTCATGACTTTTGATCTTAGAACAATTTCAATGGTATTTAAAGTGTATAAAAAAAATGACCAATTAAACTTTATATTTCTATTATCATATTTTTGGCAAAATATAGTTATTTATTTTATTGAACGTCTTGATGAACCCAATGAGCTTTTTGAACCAGTAGATTCTACCTTTTTGAACCAGAAGATTCTACTTCTGTTAAATATAATTGGAGGAATCTAAGTGTTTTTAAAAAAATCATTCCCTATTTCACTTGTTTTGTAAGGGGGAGATTTTTTACATGAAACTTGTCTTACCACCATATATTTTAAAAGTGACTTTGTTTATATGAAATATCGGTGATACACTATTGCAAAGTTTGCTTGGTTTCTCGTAGATCTTTCTTGAACATTCTTCGAAAATGTCATAACAAATGTCATTACGCCTAAAAAAGGTTGTTTTAAAATTGAGAATGGAAATGGGGAATGTCAAAGAAATGGGGAATGTTATGCATATCTTGATGAGAGCTTTTGATCTATATCAGTCTAGTATGAACCATCCCCGTAAACTGAGGATAGAAGGGTAATATTCTGGTACAGGCATGCCTTACACGAAGATACATGATTGTGGATCACTGTAAAAAAAAATATTTTCTGGTTTTCTTGTGTAGTTATGTTATTTCCTCATTGAAATGTCCGCATATCTTCGTTTATTCATAGATAATTTCATTGCTACATACATATGGAAACTGTACAATTATAAAACTGGAGTTTGCTTCATTTGGGATATGTTGGATAATTGTCTCATTGGCAATCATACCACATCCCTTTATTTTACAATCTTTTCATTTGTTGTTAAGTTAAGCTCTCTAAAATAAGATGTATGGCTTAATATGAGAGAAACCATTAAAGTTTGACAACGACAACCGGAAAGTAACACATGTTCATCACGACATTTGATGCAGGGAAATACAATGACGAATAAACGCGTACATACACTGTACAAGTCTTTTGATCTTTTGGAATCACTATCAAGGTTCCCGAGGGTTGCTGCTCCTGGTTCAGTTGTTGTTGGGATTTCTGATATAAGTCCCTGTAAAAAATATACAAGTTTATCTGTCATTTCATTTTGTTCATTTCCATATAAAAACTATTCCGATATTTAATGTGTAAATTACGGAAGCCGATAAGGGCCATTCAAAAAAAATAAATCATAGCATGTCGATATAACGACATCACTATGACGTAATTTCGACATACCATGTCGTTATTACGACATCACTATGTCGTAATAACGACATAACATGTCGTTATAACGACATCGCTATGTCGTAATTTCGACATAACATGTCGTAATTACGACACCACTATGTCGTAATAACGACATCGCTATTGTCGTAATAACGACATCGCTATATATATATATATATATAAAAGAATATGTATTATGATTGCCAAGAGACTAAATGACACAGAAATTAACAGCTATAGGTCATCATAATGCCTTCAATAATGATAAAAGACCCCGCATAGTCAGCTATAAAACAGGGACGAAAGATACCAGAGGAAGAGTCCCCGAAATGACAGATGTTTAACAATTTAATTCAAACGAGAAAAATAACGGTTTTAATAATGTACAAACAACCACTGAATTACATACTCCTGACCGCTATGTGATAATAACGACAACCTTAGAGTTTAACTTTTCACTTTTTGAAGCGACAGGAAATTCAAAATGGTCGTCAGTAAAGGCAAAGTTTGTAGCGTAAACAAATTCATCTTTTTTTTAGAGAATAATGGACACTGTGACTATATGCAATCAAGCTTAATTAAAGTTATTTACTTGCACCTCAAGACTTTCACATACTAGAAATTTATTTTATAATCAAGTCAAATGAGACCCAGTTGAATAGGGGAGCAATTCAAGCTCCTTGGAGCCTCTAATTATGTTTGGCATGTACAGAAATTATGAAGTCCTCCATTTCCATTGCAGGTTCTGAATAAGATGAATTTTTAGCTTTTCCCAATAAAGACTATGTTAAGTTGCGACTCATAGTGCTCAGACCAACGGACCTCTGTACCTTCATTTGTACACAATTGAATCTTAATGTACTACTGAGACTTGATGCAAATTATAACTGCATTGCTATTGTTGGTTTTAAATGAGATTCTTCAAGCGTCCTCCCCATTGAATCCTTATAAAAACTTTGTACCCCAAGTTCTTTTAACCACTGTTCCCCAGGACAACTATTCCTACAAACTTAGGGGGAGGGTTTGGATCCCGCTAACATGTTTAAACCCGCCACATTCTTTATGTATGTGTCTGTCCCAAGTCTTTAATTCAGTGGTTGTCGTTTGTTGATGTGTTACATATTTGTTTTTCGTTTATATTTGTACATAAAATATGCCGTTAGTTTTCTCGTTTGAATTGTATTACATTTGTCATTTCGGGGCCTTTTATAGCTGATTATGCGGAATGGACTGTGATCATTGTTGAAGGCCGTACGGTGACCTATAATTGTTAATTTCTGTGTCATTTGGTTTCTTGTGGAGAGTTGTCTCGTTGGCAATCATACCACATCTTCTTTTTTATATTTACTCCTCATTATAAAAGGATCATCCATTCTCTAAGATTAGTCCAATATGGCCTGATAGTTCTTATAGAGAAGATTTTCAAAGCTTTTTCCATTGGAGCCTATGTTAAACTTTGGACCCCTAATACTCGAGCCTAATGGATCCCCTGACCTTCGCCTATCACCTAAGGAAATTGTGTCTAGTACCCGAAGTGGTATGCGACCGATTACTATCGCTTGTTGTCCGTCGTCGTCTGCCGTAAGTGTATTTTTAAATCTCCTTCGAAACTACTGTGCAAAATTCTTTCAAAATTAGTTTGATTTTTTCGTATTGAATGTTTCCTTTACAAAAGGCGTGCGTCGATTTTTGACTCCTTAAAAGCACAGCCGCTGTTACTAACTTGAAAAATAGGATATAATGGGCACACATTAATTTTTTGATAATATCTCGAAAACCGTTACATTTATCCCAAATCTGTCGAGGGTTCATCATGACAAAATGGACCTATGCCGAAAATTTCAGAATGATCAGTTTGACCCATATCTGAGTTGTGTCCTCTAAAACATTTTTTTGGATAGCTACATGTATTGTCATCACTTGGCGTCCGTCGATTATGACCGGCAACCAACAATATGGAGACTGATACTTAGTAAAGACAATAGTAGTATAAATAGAAATAAAAGTAAACGGTAACTACAGACTATGACGGACGACAAGCAATTGCAAAAGCACACATAACCCTTCGAGTACTAAACACATCTTCTTGCTACATACATGCCAAATATAATAGAGGCTCCAAGGAGCCTGAATTGTTCACCATTTATATGGGTCCTATTCGACTTGATTATGAAATAAAGTTCTATCATGTGCAGACATATATAGTAAATAACTTTAATATCAATCAAGCTTGATTGAATTCAGAGTTTATCATTCTCAAAAAGAAAATGAATATGTTTACAATAGGGTTTTGATACAAACTTTGTCCTCACTGGCGGCCATATTTAACTTCGGATCATGTCAAACTCAACAGCTGTTTTAAAGTCATCGGATACTAGGTACACAATGTATATTTATACTAAGTTTAAACTCAGTCATTTTTGTGTTCTTGAGAAGAATATTTTGAACATTTTTAAAGTCCCTTGGCGGTCATGTGTTTTTACCAATTTGTAACAATTTGTAACAACACTTGAATAGGACCTTATAGTGCACACGTATATCAAGTTTGATTCAATTCTGATAAGTGGTTCTTAAAATAAAGATGAAAATGTTGTTTCCCATATTGTTTCAATGCTCACAAAGTAACAAGGCTAAGGTTGTTATAATGATAATAGCGATGTCGTTATTTCCACATGTTATGTCGAAATTACGACATAGCGATGTCGTAATAACGACATGTTATGTCGAAATTAAGACGTAGCGATGTCGTTATTACGACATGCTATGTCGTAATTACGACATAATTTTTTTTTGGAATGGCCCTTATCGGCTTCCGTAGTAAATAAACCTTGTTGAATAACAATTAAAAAAAAAAGCCAAAAAGTAAAAGAGTAACAATAAGATAATAGTATTTATTGTACAGGAGGTTTAATTGGTAACAATTTGTAATAATAAAACGCCTGTTTGTAGTTTTCATGTTTCTATTAAATCACCACTGAATTGTTAATTTAAGTAACTTTCAATCATATATAGTATGATAATAATACAGCATAATAAACAATAATACCAAACTCCAAGCTAAAATCAAAAAGGAGGAAGTCCCTAGTCAGGAGTCTGTTGTTCAGTGGTTGTCGTTTGTTGGTGTGGTTCATAAGTGTTTCTCGTTTCTCGTTTTTTATATAGATTAGAGCTTGCTGTTCGGTGTGAGCCAAGGCTCCGTGTTGAAGGCCGTACTTTGACCTATAATTGTTAAGTTTTTATTCATTGTGACTTGGATGGAGAGTTGTCTCATTGGTACTCATACCAAATCTTCTTGTTTATATATGTCAACCAACTGAACGAAAGGAAAACTTCTTTCCTTTTCCCGATAGTATCACTGTTTTTTTCATGCTACTTACCAGGTAGCTTATTTTGTAAGAAGAAGAAGAGAAGAGGAAGAAGAAGAAGAAGAATATATCCGTCATGGAATTTTAAAACAAGTGTATTCCAATCATAAGGAAAGAGTAACCGGATAAATTCATAGATAATCTACAAGAAAGATTCAGACTCTTTCTAATAAAATATTCGTAAGGTATAATTGAGGTGGATGTCGAAAGTATACAATAATGTTATAAATTATAAGCTTTTAAAACTTTTAACAGGCCCCTCCCCAAAACAAAAGAGAAAAAAAAGAAAAAGAAAAGAAAATAAAGGAAAAAAAAAGAAAAACTCTCACATACACATCTATCAATTACCTTTCTTTTTTTCAGAAAAGTCATTATCATTTCCAGAAGATAAAATGCGTACGTTCCTATAAAAAATATAAAAAAGTAATTCATTTTATGAAAATCAAATTAAATTCAAATACAATATTAACGTTGTTATATTTTAATAAGCTTAAGGTCAAGATACGGTATAAAGGTAATTTCAGTGATTCGAGCGTCACTGATGAGTCTTTTGTAGACGAAACGCGCGTCAGGCGCAAATACAAAATTTCAATCCTGGTATCTATGATGAGTTTATTCACAGATTGTTTTCAAGTATAGCATACAGCTGTGGTATGTTAAACTTGAACTGAAAATCGAAAAAAAATAATGTTTCAATCTCTTATCTCCTGAAATATTACTGAATAAATTCTTTTGAAACAGTTGAAGAGTTACATAGAAATTGCATAAAAAAATTATAATGATAAACGTTCTTGCATGTACATTTGTCTTAAATACATCAAATCTCGAATTTTAAGTGCTTATCTTTTTCTTAAAATTGATTGTTGTTGGTACAGAAATGTCCGTTTGATTGTTTTTATATGGTGATCACTGAGTCCTTGTTCATAGTTATAATAATACTATAGGATACTACTTTATTTTATGTAAAGCTTACTTAATAACACCTACCCAGTAATACAACCATTGTATACCAGATGTAATTTTCAACATGGATCCCTGCTTCGTGATCGTCATGGCCGTGTTCTGTACTGTTATCCTCGTGTTCATGCTCGTGATCAGAATGCCCATGGACACCTAAAGCCTATATAAAACAAAAGAATGAAAAATTTAAAAAAAAAAGAAAAAAAAAAGGGAACTCTTAAAGCCTATAACATAAACAGAAAAAAGAACAAAATATACTTGTTTATATTCTCTCGATACATAAATATCGAAAAATTTTCAAACCATTGGTTCATGGAATTCAGGGAGTGATTCTATTTTATTATCTATCAACATGATGAGTTAAGTTTAACTACGCTCCATGATTTATTTGGTGTCTACTTATTTTCTACTGAAGTTGAAGGTGTATGTTTACCAAAGAATTTAATGGGCCCCAACATTTCATGGAAAATTACAACAATGTATTACATTTACACTTTTTTGAGAGACAAATAAAATGAATAAATCAAACTAAAATAAAATCAAAGTTTTTTGATATATTGTTATCTTGTAATGATATTATAACATACTATATACATTATTTGTTAGATTCTTAACGCAGCATTATATCACGTGAATGAATAAAAATAAACACTTAAATATATAGGTTTTGGAATGTTTCAATTGTAAGATATTGTGCCACAACGATTTTGTCGTTTTAATACAGTACTATTCTGAATATATTACAAAATGTTACAAAAAACATACTCTTTTTTCATATTTCTTATTTTAATCTGTCCAATTCAGATGACCTTGCCAAGATGAAATATTGAACTCACCTCAGGAATAAGATGAACCACTGCCCCTGTAAACAATGTCCCAACAGCTAAACCCATAAAAACAGACAAAAACACGTGGTATGCATTTGAGAACCGTTTAGCACATGGCAAAACGGCAGCTCCACAAATAGAACATACGCAACATATTGCATTAGCTAAGATACCATAACCATAGACTGAAAGAAATACATTAAAGTATTAACAATGTATTGAAAATATATATTGAGATTCAGTTAAAATAACCAAAATGAAGTACAAAGATGATTTTAAGCAAGGAAATATTGTCTGCAGTGCTTTTATTATGTTTAAACGACCCCCATCCAGTTGCTGAACACATGCTATTTTTGTAGAAAAGTAATTTCTAGTTGGTTCGATTTCCATTGCTGGCAATCTAAACGGATTTATGAGATTTGAACATCGGTAATCAACTGTCGCTATTAATTTGTCAAAAAACAGAGGAGACACCAAGGGGGCAATAGAAAACCACAACTCCGATAAAATTAGGCAACACATGGCCAAACGAAAAACGACGCAAAGACAAACAACAATAACAAAACATAGCACAGACAAATAAAGATTGAGGAACACGAACCCTGCAAAAGTCCTGGGATGAATTCAGGTACTCCGGAAGAGTAACATATGTGTCACATACTATAACGAATATGTTTCATTTGTCGTATTTGCAATCCAGTCCTTCATTTCCGGTTTATGTAGACAAATACGTGTTTATTGGATTCTGTTTTTTGTCTTTTCCTTTTGGTCGTGGTGTTGTCCTTCTTTTTTTCGATTTATTATGATGTGTTATCTCCCATTGGTATCTTCATGTAATCTTCTTCATAAATAAATCAATGAGTTTTAAAGAATAACGGCAACTTATTATATGAGCTTGAAAACCACATTCTTTGAATAGTCATTTAGAATATTTTTTTGAAATGAATATAACTGCAACAAAACAACAATTGCTATCAAGGTACCAAGTAAAGCTGTAACATTTATTCAAGCGATAGCGGTCTACAAATAATTTTAAATTGACATGGAAATTGAGAGTGAGATCATGACGTTTGTTTTAGCATTTCTTTTTTTCAAAACCATTCAAAACCTACTTTTTCTTAAAATTCAAAATTCTAAAACAAATTTGAAAATTTTATATGGCACAATTTGAAAACAAATAGAACATACATGGCAACCGAATAATGATAACAAATAATGGCCTTCAAAAATACAGAGCAAATGTAAGTTTGTGCAACATGATCAAACTAAACAATGGACAGCCTCGTTCGATCCGGAAGAGTGGAGATAAAAGCCTTTATCATAAATCACTACTATGAGAATACACCAGTTGTTATTTTGCATTTTGTAGTATTTAATATATCTACTGCACATGATTACAGGTTATTTAAACTTACTTTCAGCTGTAGTAGGCATTTTACTAGTATATTATCACTGAAACCAATAAAAACATACCATTCATTTTATTTTATGGTACAATCACAATACAATAATAATAATAATGATAAAATAATAATAATAATAATAATAATAATAATAATAATAATAGTAATAACTAGTATTATTATAAAATATGTGATTCAATTACATTCATAGTTTATCATAAGTAAAGTTTGATATAACATATTCAATTATCGAACAATGGTATATTAAAAGAAACTTGGGCGTAAAATATTATATTCACCAATTGACAAGTTTCTATTCAATAGGACAAAAAAGTCATACTCATCACAATTCGCATCTTGTTTACTATATATACGGAAGCCCATTTAGGACCTCCCGAAAATATAATTCGAATTCGATATCACGAATTTAAATTGTTATCACAAATTCTAGAATTCGTTATTACAGATTAAATTCGTTATCATGAATTTATGGAATTAGTTATAACAGTTTTTGTTATTCGTAATAACGGATTGTATTCGTTATCACCATTTTTTGTAATTCGTGATAACGGATTAAAAACGTGATTACGAACTTTATAATTCGTTATTACAGATTAAAATCGTTCTCACGAATTTGTGTAATTTGTTATCACAGTTTTTTTTTTGAAATTCGTGATTACTGATTAAATTCGTTATCACAGATTATTGTTATTTGTGATAACGGACCAAGTTCGTTATAACTGATTACAAATTCTACGGATTCGTGATAACGAATTCAATCCGTTATAACGATTTATACAATTCGTTATCACGATTTATACAACTCGTTATCACGATTTATAAAATTCGTTATTACGGTTTTAATCCGTTATCTCGAATTACAAAAAATTGTGACAACGAATTTAATTCGTTATTACGAATTACAAAAACTGTTATAACTAATTCCGGAAATTCGTTATCACGAATTTAATCAGTTAAAACGAATTCTTCAATTCGTGATATCGATTTAAATTCGTGATTTCGAATTCAAATATATATTTTTGGGAGGTCCTAAATGGGCTTCCGTATATATACCCCAAATACCTAAATATATATTTAGTTTTGATAAAAAAATAATCTTGGGTAATTGTTCTCTATAACTGATGTCATTCGTTTTCGTGAAAAGAAAAAATATCCACAAGCTGAGAACGAAAACGTTTTTTGAAATTTTTACAACAGTTTTTAAAGTTGCGTAATCGTTCATCATGAAGACAGGGAAAGGTACAATACGAACTTTATATTCTCGTTCTTGAGTACATACATATTTATACAAAACACTTCCCAAGATCCTTGGACATTAATATAAACAAACAGTGACGAGGATCCAACTTTGCGTACATAAACCTGTTAGGTTTAGTTTTGTAATGCATAATCTTCACCCGTTTTATCTCTATCAATGACAAGAAAGGAAACAGAAAAGAATTTATTATCAAAATCAATTCAGCAGAAAATACGTTTATTGAACGCTTAGGTCACAATTTTGAAGCGATGCAATCCTGAGAAATGTTTATTAGTAAATGTAATTTATTCTGATGATAAGTCTTGTAAATTAAAGTGTCAAAATTATCATTCAGATATCTTGTCGGCGATAAAGTTAGTACTGGTCTAACATTTCGCTAGTAGTCAATCCACTACAGTAGCGCATATTGAAAAGTAAAATCACAAAAATACTGAACTCCGAGGAAAATTCAAAAAGGAAAGTCCCTAATCAAATGGCAAAATCAAAAGCTCAAACACACCAAACGAATGGATAACAACTGTCATATTCCTGACTTGGTACAGGCATTTTCTTATGTAGAAAATGGTGGATTAAACTTGGTTTTAAAGCTAGCTAAACCTCTCACTTGTATGACAGTCGCATCAAATTCCATTATATTGCCAACGATGTGTGAACAAACAGACAGACACAATAGGTAAAAATGTCACAAATAGAGGTACAACAGCAACACGAACTTTTCAGTCAATTAAGCGTTAGTATTTATTTGTGTACAGCTACGTACTCTTTCTATAATAGACACTGAAATAGTTCTTAACTGCTGATATGTAAAAAAAACAACCAAAAACAAGCTGAAATAGATATAAGAAGATGTGGTATGAGTGCCAATGAGACAACTCTCCATCCAAGTCAAAATTTATAAAAGTAAACCATTATAGGTCAAAGTACGGTCGTCAACACGAAGCCTTGGCTCACACAGCAAGCTATGAAAGCCTACATATGACAAATCAATTAAAGCTTTAATCATATCAAATGGATATGTTAGTGCAATATCTATCAACTAGTGGTTTTATTATAAAAAGTGCCGTTTATGTCCTTTTTTTGTGTTTCATACCAGACTTACTCTCTCGTCTTGAATGCATGTTGTAGTAAATCGCGACTGTCTATGTGCGTGAATGCAAGAATTCGAACACTGACTTGGGTTCAGACTGTTTGGTAGTGGGTGATATTACTTATGCTGCAGCGGTTGAAGTTAAAGGTAAATAATTAATACAAGAGAGGCAAAAGATTCAAAGGAACATTCAAACTCATTAGTCAAAACAAACTGAGAATGCCACGGCAAAAAAACGAAAAACGATGAATGATTATAAGTAATTAAACAACTGAAGGTAAAATATGTATTGAAAAATGATAAAGGTCATTATTTTGGCACATAAAATTACAGTAATTGATTAATGTTTCAATCCTTTCTTTGTTCATGTCATGGCTATCTTTACTTAATGTTATTGGTAATTGAATAGAATATGATAAAGATTGATGTTGAAAGTGAGTGCAGATATGTCATTTAGGGGTGTCAATGTATTACATGTAATGAAGTAATTAATCTGAAATGACCATTTTACGCATAGAGTTTGATAAATATTAAACGATCAACATACTTAGCGGAAAAAAGGTCAAAGGTCAAGGTCATATTCTAAGTTTTGCCCTTTGATAGTGTGTGCATCTCCTCTCAAACTATGAAAGCTAGATACAAAAAATTGATGCAAAATGTTTGGGTTGTTGAGAAGAAGAAGTGGTATATTTGGTCCAAAGCTATCTGATGATGTTTTATAGGAGTTATGGCCCCTAAAATGTTAAAATTTAAGGTAAATCAAATATAACTTCATTCTGGTACATGATAAAGCCACATTGTCTTTTCCAAAGGGTTGAATGACATATGACCTTAAAAAATATCTACCGGAAGTGACCTTGTGCAAACCAGAAGTAGCTATTTTTTTCTGTAATTCACGGAAAAAATACTTACAAACTATGTATTTTAAAAATCAACATACAATTACCTTTAATGACACCTAATTTCGCCTTTTGAAAACCGGAAGTAGCTACATGTAATTATCTCCCTTATTTGAAAGAAAAATATATAAAAGCCATATATTTTCGGAATCAGTGGAAAGTAAGCTATCATATGAGACCAGAAATGACATTTTCGTAACCGGAAGTAGCAAATTATCTCCCAAGTTTTAGTCAAAAGTATATAGAATCTATATATTTTTTTAAATTAGTATGAAGAAACCTATTATTGGATGCCAATAGTAACTTTGGATTAACCGGAAGTAGCTTCTTATCAATTATTTAGAAATGTAATGTAGAAAGACCATCAATTGTTATCTGAACAATTAACTTTTAATCATAATTGAATTACAATGAATAACAAATATCATTTTGGTTGATAGATATGACAAAAAATATACAAAGAAGAAAACAAAAGAATTACTTGTGTCCCCATATCTTACAAACCGCCCTAAGGTTTTTTTTTTTGCATAACAGACAGCGTTCCAGTTTATACGTTATTGGTACATTTTAGTTGGTTACTATGTTGCTATTTTTAATACAAGTGAAAATCTATAAACTATTTTAGACATTATTTATGTTTGAATATATACACAAATGCGTAGAAATAACGTTAAAAGTACAAAGGATGTTAGTTTTATACTCTGTCAACAATATATTCTTATTGACAAAAAACCGAGGTCGTGTCGTTTTGCACAACATTTAATATAAACACGAACTTAAATACCTGACCGAAATAATTAATATCCTCGTTAAACTGTAAATTATATCATATCTAATTGATTAAATGTGGTGTTTACAGTATTAATATGGCCATCCATACGTCTAATGAATATATGACATTTTAACTAACTTTTATATGTCACTATGGAATAAGGAATTTTGAAACGGGAAATAAAATTGAGAATGGAAATGGGGAATATCTCAAAGAGACAACAACCCGACCAAAGAGCAGACAACAGACGAAGGCCACCAATGGGTCTTCAACGCAGCGAGAAAATCCCGCACCCGGAGATGGTCCTCAGCTGGCCCCTAAATAAAATTGTGTATTAGTTCAGTGAAAATGGACGTCATACTAAACTCCAAAAGATATAAATGAACTAAAATTAAAAAACATACAAGACTAACAAAGGCCAGACGCTCCTGACTTGGGGCAGGCGCAAACATTCGGCGGGGTTAAACCTGTTTTGTGAGATCTCAATCCTCCCCCTATACCTCTAGCCAATGTAGAATAAAGAAACACATAGTAACACGAACAGTAAAACTCAGTTTAAAAGAACTCCGAGTCCGATGTCAGAATAGGTAACAAAAGAAACTAAGCAAAATGAGAATGATACATAAATGAACAAAGGACTACTAAGTATGTTAGCATAACAAGAGATTCATCAGGTCTTACTCCAATTTAAGTTAAATAAATGTTATTCCTATGTTTTCACTCAAAATGTTCGTCTGTTCACATGAACTATCATTGAAGTGTTCATTTTATGTACATTTACTGGTTATACAATTTTGAATTTTTCGAAACACGAAGTTTTTTCCACACCATAGATCGTCTTGACCGTATATGGAACAACTTTTTGGAACTATTTGCAGTGCATTTTAACTTCGTATTTTATTTATCCATGCAACTGATTTGATTGGAGCGCCAAAGATGAGTCTTTTGCGGACTAAAATGGAATCTGGCGACCCAAGTTATAAGACTGGTGGCACTTTTGATGAGTTTTTAT